GTCCAGTAAACTACAAGTCAAAAGGGTCACGCTGAGAAAGATACCCCTGTAATGTAAGGATATTCTCTGTCCAATGTAAAGTTAAACAACTAGCATTTCTGCATCAATGGATGGATTAAAGAACATCACCATAGCGAACAACAATTATTTCTAACATGCCCAGCAACAAAGTCGAGATCACCAGTACCAAGGACTCCAACAACAAGCCGATTTTCGTTTAAGGTGTTGAAGCATGTGCATTAATTCCTGCAGCAGGTCATATGTGAATCTCAACAAGACAAAAGAGAGACTAAGGTCCCGATATCATTCGTATTGATGCTCTCAAGAGACACAAGAATATGTTCACACATATGAGAAATGTAGCAACAAAAAAAAAAACGCCAATGGAAAGAGTGCACCTTGAATTTTATTGATCCATTACCCGTAGGCTAAAAAGGGATTCAGTATATATTGATGATGACAGACCAATTCACGAAGTGCATAAGCAAAGGCAAAAGCAGCTATCAATGAGGTTCTCTCTTGATTTGGTCGAAGCCAACACAAATGCCAATGTGAACCAATTCCAAAACTGTGTCTCTTGTCTACTTTGGGGGAGCAGAGACGTAATTCCTGCATGGCTGATGCAGGCAAAGGCCAGGTTGTGTCAAAAAATGGGATTCACCAGCTGAGCACTATTTGGATGTTGGACAAAAGGAGACAGACATCTTATACTGTAAGTGAGAGAAACCCTACAATGGTAAATAAATGATAGCATGCAATGGTTGTGATGAATGGTATCATAGTGAGTGTGTGGGGGTCTTAGGAGAGCCTAAAACAACACACTCTTACTTCTGTGATGGCTGTCTAGATAACTGAAACTGTATGTGCGTGTTTCCCCATGCATATGCATAAACAATGGAGTGGTTAATGTACAATTTTCCACTCTTGACGGCACTTGTAAACAAAAACCTAAACTAACTAAGAGAACCATTGCTCTTATTCTGTCAAGAGATACTTTTGCTGCGGATTCTGTCCTTGTTCATGTTTGCCCGAAAGGCAACCTCGACACAGAGAGAGTGTCCTGGTCGAGGGTCATCTGGAAGATTAACCCACACAAGAGGATGATCTCCAAGACATAATGGGCACAATGGAAGGAGAGGGAGGTCAACAAGACAAAGTCCTGATAACAGTTAAACAAGAGGACATTCCCCTAGGCTTGCTGAACTACACCCGCACCATCGAGGACAAAAGCCAGAGGAGATCTTCATTGATGAAAAGCCTCTTCATTGGAGAGTATCTCCCACATCCTCGGACAAGTTGGGGTAAATAATTAGGACCTCAACTAACCCTGGAAAGCCTTGCAGATACAACAAGCCAGTGCCTATAAAACAATACAACAACACCCAAACATCCGCTACCGCCTTGGGTGTCTTGCCTGCACGGGGTTCGCCTTGTTTTGTTGCTGGTTGCTACAAACGGACAAGGCATTGCAGGCAATACTGGATGAGCCATTTGCCCCATTGTTTTGATGAGGGGCAGACTGAGGTGGTGAAGGGTCTGGCTCGGGTCCAGATGGCACTGATTTGGCTTGCCAAACAGATCATCTGTCCCGGATCTACTCCTGAGGACATGGTAGACATATCAATGGCTCCAACCTTGATATTTCTCCATTAGTTGCCCTTCAGTTGTATGGACTTGGCCATTGCCAGTAATGATTGGATATCCTCGTCCTTCATGAGGGAGCCTAAAGAATTTGATGGCCAGTCCCTACCCAGATACTCCTGCAGATTCTACCCTACCTAATGCCATAAACCCCTACTGCCAGTGCCACTACCACTGCCATCACCTCCATGCAAGAAAGTTTGTCAGATATCTGGCAAATCGGGCTTTGGAGAACACTCCAGAAGAGGTCGATTTCAGTTTAAAAAGTTGACCCCCTTCGCCTGTGGACAAAAGCTCTCTTCGTAACAGTATTGCAGTTCCATCACGGCGTGTTGGCTTAATGTGAGAGGAAAGCCTGATGTGATGCATGTCCCAGACGTTTACCACTTTGGTGAAACCCACGAAAACCTTTCCGTAAACTGCAAGAAGACTCGTCCCCAAGTCGTCACCACTCGCCCCTTTCCGTAACCTGCAAGAAGACTCGTCCCCCATTCGTCACCACTCGCCCCTTTCCGTAACCTGCAAGAAGACTCGTCCCCCATTCGTCACCACTCGCCCCTTTCCGTAACCTGCAAGAAGCTTGTCCCGGAATAACACGAGTTGGTCACGAATGCGCATGTGCTAACCCCTCCACCCCTTCTTTCCCCAAACTAACAGTGTCCGCGTGCAGCAGTTTTTGTATCAGATTACCGTTCAGTCAGAGATATCTATTTTTAATTCAACTAGCTGGACCATGGGGCTGACTCTTGGAGCACTAATTCTGTACTGGCAGAGATAAAACTTGAAAAAAACCCATTCACAGTCATATTATTGTTATTCTGAACAGAAGTTTATTTTTGTAAAAGTGTACAACATGTATATTATAATATATTGATAACAAATTTAGCTTTGCAAAGTGTAATTATTACTTCCTAAAAAAACTATTACAAAAGAACCCTATATTTCAGAATTTTTAAAAATCAGAAAGAAATCTAAACTTGCTTCATTTCGGCTATAGCATTACAAGTTAGTTAAGTCTTTTGTAAGAAATATACACGTGATTAAGGACTGTGTGACAGCCTACATGTCGCTGTACATGTTCATCTACATGCTATTTATTAGTCTGTCTCACAGTCCCTGAATCACATCATTTGCCTCCACCATGACTGAACCTGTGATGCTACACCTCCAAATAAAGCAAGTCTAGACATCTAAATCTCAATATCCCATATTACGGGGCCCTTTTCCATTTTCGCTGTGATTTTTCTGTAAAAATTGTAAAGTTTTCAGAATTAGTCTAGCTCTCTTTAGCACTTAAGAAAGATAGGAATAGCAGAAATGAAATCATATGACACTACACATTGTTTTCACACAAATATTTATACACATTTCATACATCATAATATTTGAATGCAAAATCTTGTGTATCAGTTATGGTCCTGAATTCTATTTAAATTAGTCATTTAATTCATTAAGTCTCCTTACATTTTGTCATACATAATACTTCTTCCTCACTGAAACAATCAGTCAGTAAATAATTGTATTTACACAAAGTCATTAAATAATTTTAATATATCAATAAAACTCATCTACGAGGGGCGTTCAATAAGTTTTGCAACTTGGGCATTTGTGTTTACACAAACAATGTCAACTTGTGGCAGGTGTGACACTGGTCATAACATCAGGTTGACACGTGTCATCACAAACAATGTCAACTTGTGGCAGGCGTGACACTGGTCATAACATCAGGTTGACACGTGTCATCACAAACAATGTCAACTTGTGGCAGGTGTGACACTGGTCATAACATCAGGTTGACACGTGTCATAACAAGTTCCAGACACAACAATAAGTTAGATGTGATGGCTTCATTCACCTAAGGGTGGTCACAATCATGGATTCTCTCAAACATGAACAACGCGCTGTAATAATGTTTCTTACATGCTCCGATTCACAAGACGAGAATTGCACAGGCCGCCATATGTAAATGTGGATTCGAACAGTTCAATCACCCACCCTACAGCCCAGACTTAACCCCCAGTGACTACTTCCGGCAAATGAAATCTGACGAGGACATAAAGGCTGCCACAGAGGCATGGTTAGAGGGCCAATCTGCGGATTTCTATAAAAGTGGTATTAAAAGCGTGAAGGACCAATGGTATTAGTGTATTGAAGTCAATGGAGAATATATTGAAAAATAAAAGTGCAAGAGATATTCTGTGACTTGGTCTTTTATTGAAGTTGCAAAACTTATTGAACGCCCCTCGTACATTTGATAACATGTATTTGTATTTGTATAGTTATATCACGGCATGTCAGTTTGATGTGGGAGGAAGGCCCGGAGTGAAACCTAGAAATTTAATCGAGGCGAGGCTTTTATTCGAACCCACTATCATTGGTTTCTGACACGTATACCTAGGGGACGCAACTCCGCGCAGCGAATTGGGGTACCTCAGACGACTTGGCCACCAGTACTGTTATAGGTGGATTGACATATCTTTTGGTTTCGGGTTTGTATGCTGTTTAACGCCACACTCAGCAATATTCCAGCTACATGACGGCGGTCTGTAAACAATCGTGTCTGGACCAGAAAATCCAGTGATTGACTTCATGGACTACGATCTACGCAATTCGGATCGATGACATGCATCAACGAAGTCAGCGAGCCTGACCACCCGATCCCGTTAGTCGCCTCTTACGACAAGCATAGTCTTCTTTTACGGCAAGCATGGGTTTGGAATGTACCTATTTTGGAAGGTCGTGCTATAAAGTACTCAAATAGAAGCTAAAGAACACCCCATCCTGCATATTACTATGGTTAATGTGTCATTGCATGACAGGTTAACCATAGTAATATGACATAATCGGGCGTCCTATAACTTCTTTTGATTTGTCAAGGGCGGATCCAGCAGGGGAGGGGTCCAAAATATCAAAATCATCTCTCAGAAAGTTTGCCTACCTACAACATACTATATTTGTTTTTCAAAATTCCACTGTTTCCGTTGTGGGTCGTGACTCTGTGATTAGTGCCAGGTGTGAAACAGAATTGTGTTCGCGTAATTATGTAATCATTTCCTATTAGAAATATAAACCTAATCATCCGTTTCCAGTCAACCTAGGTGGCATTTGATGGCTTGAATAAACATACAAGGACAAGCCCCTGTGTATTGTAATTTTAAACTAAAGATGAAAATTACTGTTCCACATTTAGTGTTTATGATGTGTTTGTGTAACATACGCAACTTGGTTAAACTGCCATTGCGTTTTACATAGATCTACAGCGAAGAGACCTTGGTAAAACAAATTAGATAATGCCCCAGCAGAATAGATTTTTCGGTGGTCAGCAATATGTGTGTGCGTATTACCTCCCTTAGCAATAATTCAAGATGGCGGCGTCCACAGAAGATTGGATGTGTGAGGAGTTAGCGAAACTGGGAATTGATGCTAATGAAGAAAGTGCAAGGTAAGACCGTCATATTTTACAGAAAAATGCAATCAGGATTATACACGTATCATTTTGAATTCATGTTGCATTGACAATTTTCTATTTGAATTAATGACGTCTATATCAATATGTTGTGCAATGTCAGTGATCTACTTTCAATTTATCTCTTCAGAAGTTGGATATAATTTAACGATTAACTGACAATGTTTGTTTCTAACTTTTAAGAATTATGCACATTTCACGCGTGTTCCATGTTGATACAGCCTATAACCCAAACATTAGACAGAATTATGCAAATTTAGTCAAGATGCTGACTTAGCAAATAACTTGTTGGTATTGAATTCCTCTTAACCAGACCACAAGTCCCAATTCATGTGTAACTTAGCCTGTGGCTGTGGTTAAATCCATGGCCAGTCTGATGGTTTCCCTCTCATATGCATTTATCAAGAGCTGAAAAGTGATAACCCAAACCCAATAATAGTGCACACAAGTTTATAATTTATCTGTGAAAATGTGACAATGAGCTGAAGGTGGCTCACGGTACAAATTTTTGCAGAATATTTCAGGAATGCACTTAAATATATCAAATACAATACACAAACAATGTATTTAAGTGTTATCACTAACGTACATTAGCCGAAAAGCATGTGTGGTGACCTCAAGGTTGCAAGAAAAGGACAGTCTGTCAACACAATCCAAATCAATACATAATTATTTTAATGTTTTATGAACAGTCAACCTCTTCAATGTATGTCTTTAGTCTCTAATGTCATAGTGTAAGTCACCCAAAGTTCATTACAATAACGTAAATAGCTGATGAGTTACATAATAAACTTAGAGGGTGAAATAATAGTAACTGGTAGTTTGATATCTTTAAAACTTATGTACATAGACATATTTGTTTTTACACATAGAAGTCACTTTGTTTTCAATGATATTGTCTGTTATACTTCCTGAATAATTGATCTTTTTTTATCACCATGATGAACATGATCACAGTTAGGGGTGGTGGGGTAGCCTTGTGGTTAAAATGTTTGCTCATCATGCTGAAGTACCGGGTTCGATTGCCCACAGTGGTACAGTGTGTGAAGCCCATTTCTGCATTCCCTGTCGTGATATTGCCTGAATAATGCTAAGTGACGTAAAACAATACTCACTCACTCATTGATCACAGTTGTGACACAGTTGTGACTAGCCTTGACACTGAGATAAATGCAAACCTTGCAAATATGTTTTGTAACCATGCACCTGATACCCATGTTATACAGTATATATGACAAGTATGAAGTGCTTGTGATGAAGGGGCCCTTGTCAAGTTGGGTATGTAATGTACAGTCTTACATGCTCACTTGTTAAGCCACAATTTTGAAAGTGGATCAATCTGAACATGGTTGTTGACTGCAATATAATGAGCAAGAGAAGTTATGTGCTAATTTAATGATAAGCATGATAAGAGAAAAGGAGAAGTTGATCGAAATGAACCTATGGTGTGAATACACAATGCCATTTAGAAAGTGGTCAAATGTAAAGTACGAGAATCTGTACTTTACTAAGAAAGTGTTATCCCAAATATAACATTTGTTACATTGAACCTGTGATGGTGTCTACAGGGTATTTTCATGATTATGGGAACTAATACACTGTAGATGTATAATCCAGGCTGCGTTCAGCCTTGTTTAGTTTTACCACTGTTTGCAGTGTTCGAAATACCTGCCTGCCCGACCGTCCGAGACGGGTTGATTTCAACTCGGGCTGCCAGATTTTCAAATCCCCCTGCCTGACGGTCGGGTTATATTTCATATGTGACAATATTCTAAATATTTCCCAATGATAATCATTAATTCACATGTAAAGATGAATGATAAAATGTAACCAAAAAGAAACCCTGTTAGCTTATCCTGAGAAACATATGATTATAGTGGGCAGGCAGGTTTTGGTCAGGGCTGGCAAGTATTTCAGCTAGCCAGTCCTGTGGTCTGGCTGAAATTTTTGGGAGTTTCATACCCTGCTGTTTGGCATCAGAAGTGTGCTGAGGAACTTGTTTTGTGTACCTTTGAAACTCATCCAGTGGCTCGTGGGCCCTGTTCCACAAAGAGATCTTAGGGCTAAGTTGGTTGTAGTATCCTTCATGACAACAACCCATTCAGTGGGACTTGGGAACCAATTTGCCGAATTACTGCCTTATGCTATAACAAGATATATTATTAATCAGTACGAAATTGAACAGTTAAACTTAAACATTTTAAAGTTGATTGCAGATGATGTTACTTTTTATGTACCATGACATTTACAGTTAAAACTTTCACAACTGTCGAAAGCCCATTTCCATTGATTTCAATCAATTATATATTCCTTTAGGTACATTCTTGCTATTGAAACTGCCAAAGATCTGGAGGAGTATATGCTAGATCTGCTAGATGCAAGTGACTCAAAAGTGCGCAGATTTGTGAAAGAGCTTCTCAATCGGTGGCGCCCTCCTTCAAGTCTGCAAGTGCCTGATAATGTGCTGGTAATGTCACTTTCTGTTCTGTAGATGATGAATGTCATTAAGTATCGAATATATTCTCCAAGGATAATTGATTGTGATTGATGCATTGAGAATTGTGCATGTGATAATTCACAAACAATATCTAGTTTGATTTTCAGCATTTTCACTGTATTCATAATTTTTGTAGTAATGAAACATTTGTAATTGCTGTGTTTCACTCTGTTGCAGGTTTACCGAAAAGGAAAAGACAGTGATGAGTTTACTCAGGGATCACAAAAAACAAAGAAAAAGAAACAAAAACAAGAGAATAAAAACAATTCAAATTCTTCCCAAGAAAATATTAATGGAGTGATAGACCACAACCAGGTAAGATTAATTTTTTTGGCACATTACACATTATAGTATGTTGTAGAGAGAACTCATACGTGGTCTGTTTTGTCTTGTTCAGTGTTTGGTACCCTGTGCTTATGTTCAGCGAAATAAAAGTTAACTGACTATATATTATTTTCAGGCCACCACAATAGAGCTTGGACACATGTATAACTAACTGCTGAATGAAACTTTCACTAATGTACACACTCATTGTTTGGTGGCCAAATGATCTCAGTCTGTGCAATGTACCATGCCCAGTTGCATCCCTTGTGCATGCATATCCAGTTCATGTTTTTCTACATTTTCAGATGTCAGTTCCTTCAATTGTAGAAAGTTCTCATGTCCATGCTGACACAGTGAAAAAGAAATCCAAATTTGTTCCTCTCTACAGTCAGGAAGGCCAAGAGAAAACAGTCCTCAAGTTGCCTGGTGAGTAATGTCCCTGTCCTCCAGTTGCCTGGTGACTAATGTCCTTGACCTCCAGTTGCCTGGTGAGTAATGCACCTGTCCTCCAGTTGCCTGGTGAGATATGCCCCTGTCCTCCATTTGCCTGGTGAGTAATGACCCTGTCCTCCAGTTGCCTGGTGAGTAATGTCCCTGTCCTCCAGTTGCCTGGTGAGATATGCCCCTGTCCTCCAGTTGCCTGGTGAGTAATGTCCCTGTCCTCCAGTTGCCTGGTGAGTAATGTCCTCTACCTCCAGTTGCCTGGTGACTAATGTCCTTGACCTCCAGTTGCCTGGTGAGTCATGTCCTTGACCTCCAGTTGGCTGGTGAGTTATGTCCCTGTCCTCCATTTGCCTGGTGTGTAATGTCCTTGTCCTCCTTTTGCCTGGTGAGTAATGTCCTTGACCTCCAGTTGCTTGGTGAGTTATGTCCTTGACCTCCAGTTGCCTGGTGAGTTATGTCCCTGTCCTCCAGTTGCCTGGTGAGATATGCCCCTGTCCTCCATTTGCCTGGTGAGGTATGGCCTTGACCTCCTGTTGCCTGGTGAGTTATGTCCTTGTCCCCCAGTTGCCTGGTGAGATATGGCCATGACCTCCTGTTGCCTAGTGAGTTATGACCTTGACCTCCCAATTTCTAGTGGTTTAGTTTGGGTCTGAGCAACATGTTACTTGTTACTATACCCTACGGATTAATTCCCTCACTGTGTTGTAGGTCGTCACACGTGTGAGTGCCAGGCCGCCAAGCATTCACTTGTCAACAACTGTACCGGCTGTGGGCGTGTGGTGTGTCAGCAGGAGGGGTCAGGCCCCTGTGTCTTTTGTGGGACATTGGTGAGTCGCTGGGAAAGGGGCCGCCATTCTGCATATGTTCACATGCTGTAGAGTCTCGTTTACCCAGCTGGGACTTTCCACTTTAGGAAAGGTTTAAAGTTGAAAGATCAGATGCTGAATTATTTTGGTATATAATCAGACTTCTATTGGAAAGTTGAAAATTATATACCCATGTAAGTCATTACATGGTTACCCTGATAAGAGGAGTAGAGATATCAGCCACTGGTTTTTGCCTGGCCCATACTTCATAACTTACATGCTGTCTTAATATACTACCCAAAAGAAGTTAAAGAACACCTGATTTGTTCTTCTTGTTACTTTGGTTAATCTCTCATGCCAATACAGATTAACTACATTACTATGATATAATCGGGAGTTCTTTAACTTTTTAAGAGTAGTATATACACTGGTAGCTGAACATTGCTGACTATGATGTAACATCACATTCTGTTGACAAGCAATAAAATCAGCATCAGCACCTTCAACTGCATCTGCAATCTCCTGGAAGCATGGGAGTTCAGTGACTATATAAGTCCAGTTTCCATCCTTGCAAAAACTAGACTGGAATCTCGTGGCTCGATCGTAGTGCCACAAGTGGCTGTTATAAGTTGTAGCAGTATCACGAGGGGTGCATGTGGTTTTATGCGACCAACGTCGGGCTGGACAATGGCACATACATGTCAGGCCAGCCAAAATAAATCTCAGAAATTCCAGCCTGGTTCTGCAAGGGTGGAAACTGGAATGTTATAGTCAGTTAACTCCCATTGCCTTGGGGTAGATGGCGTCTGTGAGTCTAACAAGGCGAAGGTGAATGTCACCAGATAAGGGTTTCTATGTGGGTACAGGGGTAGTGGTTGTAATCTTGCTGTATGTTGTCAGGTGTGTACGCGGGAGGAACTGGAGGTCCTGAACCGAGGGTCCAAGAAGAGTGAAAAACTGCGGCAGCAGTTGATGAAGGGGGCTACGATAGTGCCGTTCCTGGAGATGGAGGGGGGAGGGGGAGGCATGTTGCCCATGGCGGCTGTCAAGATGAACGACGGACTGGAAAAGGCAATCAAGCACAAGGAGAAACTACTGGACTATGATAGGACCAGGTGTGTTGGTATTAGCATTGGAGGAAAGTGGCTGACAGTGTTAGGGCTGATGTGCATGGGCGGATCCAGAGGGGGGTTGGGGGGGACCCCTCCTTTTGAAAACCAAATGTGTAATGTAATGTAAAGTAAAATTATGCTCTATTTATGACACACTCCATCCAAGTATATATGTTGACCTGTCTTGTTCACTTCAGTGTGAGACGAACCAAAGTGATAGATGATGAAAGCGACTACTTTGCATCAGACTCCAAGTGGCTCAGCAAGAAAGACAGGGAAGCACTGAAGAAACGTGAGGCAGAGCTCCGCAGTCAGAGGTTTGCGTCGAGGAAAGACAGGAAAATAACGCTTGACTTTGCTGGGCGTCAAGTGATTGATGTGGAATCGGACACTGGAAAATACATGTATGACGCTAATGATGAGGTGGTGCAACAAGTTTACCAAGGTGCACGACCCAAACACTCACCTAGTCCTTACACTTTGCAGGAATCTGGGAATATACTGAACCCCACTATAGTGCAGCCAGCCCCAACAGTAAGTGCCTTACAATAAGGGTGGTTCGTGGTCTTTCAACATTACCCTTTATCAAATCCTATCTTTGTGAACATCCAGGTTAAAATTGGTCTTCAGCCAACTGTGCTTGTCACAAGTAGCGACTAACAGGATGGGGCGATCAGACTCGCTGACTTGGTTGATTGCATGTCATGGAATCCCAAATGCGTAGATTGATGATGTTGATGCTCGTGATGATGGAATCACTGGATTGTCTTGTCCAGACTCAATTTATTACAGATTTGCTGAGTGTGGCATAAACAAGAAATGAATAAACAAACAAATTCTATGTCGTTTAGTTATTCCCTAAAACATTAATGATATAGTACTGTATTTTATTGGAAAACACAAACAATATTTCTTATTTTAGTGCCTTTTGTTGTCACCTATAAACATGATAAATGTGTTACTACATCTATTTTGCATGTGTTCTATTGTCTAAGATTTTTTCTTTTACACTTTTTTTTAAATAACTGGTAATGTTTATCATGTTTATTGAAGGTTTGAGACATGATTCAGAGATCAGAAAACATTCTGGAAAACACTGATAAATTGTAACCTGATATAAAATACCTGGCATAATATTTGTCGAGACAGACTCATCAAGTGATGAAAATAATCCCATTGTACTCCGGACACCACCATCAGTAGGAAAACAGTTGGTGTATCAAAAAGTTGGAATGGTAGATGGCAGGATGTATATGTTTTATCTATGACTGACTATGAGAGCATGTAGGAATGAAAAACAAAAATATGATAAATGAAAGAAAGTGTTTCAATTAGGTTTTCTCTCAATTTATCTCATTTACATATTTTTTTACAGTTTGTCTCAAAACAGTCTTCATTTAGTCGGAAGGTTATAGGTCAGAGTTCTTCTGGGGACGTTGACCCTCATGCCAAGTCAGCTCGTATCCAGGACCGTGAGTTGCTGGAGATGACAGACGAGGGCATGTGCATGAGCATGCATCAGCCATGGGCAACACTGCTCATCAAGGGAATCAAAATGTAAGTCAGTCTTTTTGTATTCTGAATTATTTACATGTTCCATGTCATATTCTCTGCACCATGGCCACTGAGTGATTTCTAAATATAAGCTAAAATAAAAAAATTTGATAGTTGATTTCATTTGGATGTGAAAACTTCTATAAATATATTGCATCAATTTTACTTTGAGATTGACTTTAATGAGATGTGTGTGTTGTATGTGCTCCCTAGTCATGAAGGCCGGACATGGTACACAGCCCACCGAGGCCGCCTGTGGATCGCCGCCACATCAAAGTCCCCCAACACACAGGAAACACACGAAGTGGAGCAGATGTATCAGTATCTCTACACAGGTAGGTGATCTTCCCAACATCTCCCCGTGGGGATTGCAGAATAGGTCCCCAGTAACTCCTGCTTGTATCTCTGTAGGAATTCCAGGACAGAATAGGTCCCCAGTACCTTCTGCTTGCATCTCTGCTGGGATTCCAGAACAGGTCCCCAGTACCTTCTACTTGCATCTCTGCTGGGATTCCAGAATAGGTCCGCAGTACCTTCTGCCTGTATCTCTGCTGGGATTCCAGAACAAGTCCCCAGTACCTTCTACTTGCATCTCTGCTGGGATTTCAGAACAAGTCCCCAGTACCTTCTGCTTGTATCTCTGCTGGGATTCCAGAACAGGTCCCCAGTACCTTCTACTTGCATCTCTGCTGGGATTCCAGAATAGGTCCCCAGTACCTTCTGCTTGCATCTCTGCTGGGATTCCAGGAAATAAAAGACCCCAAGTACTGCCTGCTTGCATCTCTGCTGGGATTCCAGAACAGGTCCCCAGTACCTTCTGCTTGCATCTCTGCTGGGATTCCAGAACAGGTCCCCAGTACCTTCTGCTTGCATCTCTGCTGGGATTCCAGAACAAGTCCCCAGTACCTTCTGCTTGCATCTCTGCTGGGATTCCAGAACAGGTCCCCAGTACCTTCTACTTGTATCTCTGCTGGGATTCCAGAACAGGTCCCCAGTACCTTCTGCTTGCATCTCTGCTGGGATTCCAGAACAGGTCCCCAATACCTTCTACTTGCATCTCTGCTGGGATTCCAGAATAGGTCCCCAGTACCTTCTGCTTGCAACTCTGCTGGGATTCCAGAACAAGTCCCAAGTACTTTCTACTTGCATCTCTGCTGGGATTCCAGAACAGGTCCCCAGTACCTTCTGCTTGCATCTCTGCTGGGATTCCAGAACAGGTCCCCAATACCTTCTACTTGCATCTCTGCTGGGATTCCAGAACAGGTCCCCAGTACCTTCTACTTCCATCTCTGCTGGGATTCCAGAACAAGTCCCCAGTACCTTCTGCTTGCATCTCTGCTGGGATTCCAGAACAGGTCCCCAATACCTTCTACTTGCATCTCTGCTGGGATTCCAGAACAGGTCCCCAGTACCTTCTACTTGCATCTCTGCTGGGATTTCAGAATAGGTCCCCAGTACCTTCTACTTGCATCTCTGCTGGGATTCCAGAACAGGTCCCCAGTACCTTCTGCTTGCATCTCTGCTGGGATTCCAGAACAAGTCCCCAGTACCTTCTACTTGCATCTCTGCTGGGATTCCAGATTAGGTCCTCAGTACCTTCTGCTTGCAACTCTGCTGGGATTCCAGAACAGGTCCCCAGTACCTTCTATTTGCATCTCTGCTGGGATTCCAGAATGGGTCCCCAGTACCTTCTGCTTGCAACTCTGCTGGGATTCCAGAACAAGTCCCAAGTACCTTCTACTTGCATCTCTGCTGGGATTCCAGAACAGGTCCCCAATACCTTCTGCTTGCATCTCTGCTGGGATTCCAGAACAGGTCCCCAGTACCTTCTACTTGCATCTCTGCTGGGATTTCAGAATAGGTCCCCAGTACCTCCTACTTGCATCTCTGCTGGGATTCCAGAACAGGTCCCCAGTACCTTCTACTTGCATCTCTGCTGGGATTCCAGATTAGGTCCTCAGTACCTTCTGCTTGCAACTCTGCTGGGATTCCAGAACAGGTCCCCAGTACCTTCTACTTGCATCTCTGCTGGGATTCAAGAACAGGTCCCCAGTACCTCCTGCTTGTATCTCTGCTGGGATTCCAGGACAGACTAGGTCCCAAGTACACCCTTTATGTCATAGAATAGTTAATACTGATTAATAATATGTTGATTGTTTGTTATTTCAGGTAAATATAGTACTTGATTATGATGTAAAAATATAAATAAAAAAATCTGTTGACGTTCACAGCTGCAGTGAGGATATGCATGATTGTGTTTCAGATCCCAACATATCCTTCCCCAGCAACTACCCTGCGGGCTGTCTGCTGGGCTGTGTGGATGTCGTAGACTGCCTCTCTCAGGAGGAGTACAGACAACAGGTATGCACTGGGGCTGTGTCGAGGTACCCCGGTTCAAGGGCTGGCTTGGGGTTCCCCAGTACTAGGGCTGGGTTGAGGTTCCCCGTTATTAGGGCTTGGTTGAGGTTCCCCATTACTAGGGCTGGGTTGAGGTTCCCCGTTATTAGGGCTTGGTTGAGGTTCCCCGTTATAAGGGCTTGGTTGAGGTTCCCCGTTACTAGGGCTGGGTTAAGGTACCCCGTTACTAGGGCTGGGTTGAGGTTCCCCGTAATCAGGGCTGGGTTCCGGTTCCCCGTTACTAGGGCTGGGTTGAGGTTCCCCGTAATCAGGGCTTGGTTCCGGTTCCCCGTTACTAGGGCTGGGTTGAGGTTCCCCGTTACTAGGGTTGGGTTGAGGTTCCCCGTTACTAGGGCTGGGTTGAGGTTCCCTGTTATTAGGGTTGGGTTGAGGTTCCCCGTAATCAGGGCTGGGTTCCGGTTCCCCGTTACTAGGGCTGGGTTGAGGTTCCTCGTTACTAGGGCTGGGTTGAGGTTCCCTGTTATTAGGGTTGGGTTGATGTTCCCCGTAATCAGGGCTGGGTTCCGGTTCCCCGTTACTAGGGCTGGGTTGAGGTTCCCCGTTTCTAGGGCTGAGTTGTGATACCCTACTTCTTGGGCATGGTCCACGTAGGCCATTTGTAGTTTGGGTGGAGGTACCCGTGTACTTAGTTTGAATATATTGTAGTGTAAGGGGAGGTAACTTATGTTACCATTCATGTACGGACAGTGTAAGGGGGATAACTCTAATAGGGTATAGAGCAAATATGGCGGACGAAAGGGGATGCGTTGGAAGGTAAGCGGTTGCACAGAAAGAATAGAATGAAGGAGAGGGCAGTTAGAGTGTTAGGATAGTTGGATTTGTATTGTAATGAAATGAAGACGTATGTTGATTGTAGCAGCGACTTGCATGTGTTTCCTGGGAAAGTTTGATGATAACAATATGTTGAGGATATGTGAAGTTGTGTCCTTCATGCAAGCCAGAATCGTTTGATTTTCCCTGATTATAATCTTCGAAGGCTTTACCAGCGTGAATAACATCTTACGCCTGCATCACTTTGAGCTTTCCTCCCATATTAAGCAGATGACCTATGCTTAGCATTTTTTCATGATTTCATGAAGCTTATCTTGGACTTGTATTTTGTACAGATGATCTCATTGTATTGTATTACTCAGTTCCCAGATGGCGAGTCTGCATCACCGTATGTGTTCATCTGTGAGAACCCACAGGAGCTAATTGTCAAATTCCCAATCAAGGGAAAACACAAAATATGTGAGTAGTGGCTTTCTTCCTTACAGAGCTCTTGTGCATGAGGACCGCCTCCATGGTCTACTGGTAGAGCATCTGCCCGAATTCATTACAGTGTGAAATTTGTTCACCCCTAGCATAAAATCTTGAGATGCCCCCCTAATCCCCCTATTGTTTGACCAATTAGTACGGCTGGGCGATTAAACAAAAGGTGCCGGACAAGTAGGATGCCCCCGCCTCAGTAACCCATGCTTTGAACGAGGCGACTAAATGGACCAGGCAGTCTGGCTAGGTGAATTACTGACAGTGTGGTAGTTGTTGTTGATATGCATTTAGAAATTGGAACAACATGAAGACATGAAACATTTGTAAATAACAGATTCCTTATTATTGTAATGATGTTTTCAGGGCTACTTCTTGCTCCTTCATAAATATTGCTAAGTCTAAGTATTTCTTAATGTATATTTTGTTAAAGAGTTTAGAGTTAATGTTATTAGTTATATAATGTTTTCTATTTTCAGATAAACTCGACAGTCGCATACACCAAGCTGCTAAGAAAGGTCTACGCCAGTCAAGCCAATCAAATCATTGACAGTAGCTGATTTTAGAGAGGAGCTTGTTATTTTAATTAATGTTAGTTCATCTGGTGTATAAAAATGTGTTTGAACGGGTTGACATGTACAGGATAGATGACTGCTAGTCAGGAAACTGTTATGTTATTATGCTATGAGGTTGAAACAGGGTCGACCTGTTCAAGGTTAGGTGACATCTGTCACTGTGTCAGTCATGAAACTGTTGTGTCGTGAAGTTGATGGGTTGACAGATCATGGCTGGTAATACATACCGGTTGTTAACTTTCAAAAATCCAATATGTAGCTTTGGTGGCACCCAGGAATCATCATGACACCTTATGGTCACTCTGGAAGTCATTGTGGCACCTTTTGTATCGACCAGGGAGTCACTATGATACTGTGTGTATTGACCAGGGAGTCATGGTGACTCCTTGTGTATCAACCAGGGAGTCATTGTGACACCTTGTGTATCGACCAGGGAGTCATTGAGACATCTTGTGTATATCCCAGGGAATCATTGTGACACCTTGTGTATCTACCAGGGAATCATTGTGACACCTTGTGTATCGACCAGGGAATCATTGTGACACCTTGTGTATCGACCAGGGAGTCATTGTGACACCTTGTGTATCTACCAGGGAGTCATTGTGACACTATGTGTTTCAACCAGGGACTTGTTGTGACACTGTGTGTATCGACCAGGGAGTCATTTTGACACAGTGTGTATTGACCAGGGACTCGTTGTAACACCTGTGTATCGACCTTGGCCTCTATGACACTTTGTGTATCACCCTAGGATAACCTCATTGCTCATCATACATTTAATACGTCACTTTCAAACCTCTTGTTTTCAAACAGATTCATGTGGTTGTGGATATGACATGACAATCTTGCTGTACAAAATAGGATATACTTTTTATATTGACAAAAGTCTTTTCGGGAGGTTTTTAGCTCTCTAGGACTGGAAGCCCAAGTGAGCTTATGGCAAGGTGGGTTGTCCATCGTATGTCCATCTATCCAACCATAGACTTCTTAGGAACTTTAGGCGTTTAGGGGAATGACATGAAAATATTTAAAATCTTTAAGAATCTTCTGCTAGCAAACTGAAACACCCATAGAGCTGAAACATAAGGCAATGTGGGATCAGGATATGACTTAAGTTCATGGCTTTGGAACGAAAAATGTAGTTGTTTTTATTTAAATATGATTCTTATATGAGGCTTATCTTCTTATTAACCTGAAGGACCAGAGAGCTGACATTTTGGTCGGATATGTAGCTCCACAGTCATCATACCGAGGCTAGGGAGTTAACTGACTGTAAGAAGTCAAGTTTCTACCCTTGCCGAACTAGGCTGGAATTTTAGCGCCCCCAGTGGTGATTACGATTTATGTCCCTTCTATGGCCCTCCTATGGACCAATAACATCCTACCTCTTATATCACTTGTATTTGCTTAAAACAAAATGATGGTGCCCAGTGAAGACGATCTGAATCGATGATCAAGATATATAATTGGAATAAAATGAGTCCTATTTAGTGAAATGCATCAAATCATGTGAGCACCTTGATTAAAAACATGAAAAGATTTGGAAAATCTGTTGATGCCAAGTACGCATGCTTTGCAAATCCTGCACTCGACCGAAATCTGCATGGCAGTTAAGGGAATGTCGATTTCATTATGTGATTTTGATTGGACTATGCATAGACTCGTTAGTCCAGCCCAAATATAACTCCATAATTCCAGCCTAGTTCGGCAAGAGTGGCAACCGGACATTCATGGTCAGTTAACTCCCTTGCCTCGGGAAGATGCTCTACAGTGGGTTTCTTTTTTTAACCATGGCATCAGAAATTCTATCAACTGGAGAAAACATTTTAAATTGTGAAATTATTATTTTTGTTTTTTGTTTCAAGCCAACACCAAGCAATATTCCAGTGATTTGACGGTGGTCTGTAAATAATCGAGCCTGGACCAGACAATGCAATGATACATATTATGAGCATTGATCTGGTCAGTTGGGAAAGGAAATAGGTGAGAAACGGATCCTTGGCAATATTTTTATTAACAAATAAACTAGTTTCCTATTTCAAGAGTTTTTAATCATGATGCCTGTTCTACTTATCACAGATTTATTGGAGTATTTATCTTCAAATGCTATGAGAAGACAGTAGGAAAAAAAACAATCATGTGTTTTTGCAGCAGAATGTTCATATACAGGGTGTTAGGAATATTTCAAAAACACGGAGGTACACCTAAAATACATAAAAATGTCTTTCTGCAGTTAACTGTTTTCGTCAGTACAGTAAACTACGTTTATAATGAACACGCTTATAATGAACTGACCGATATAACAAACCTATTTTTTAGTTCCAGCCATGTGTTGTATATATGCTGTATATATACTTATAATGAACTACGGTTATTACAAACTAAAATTAGTGGTCCCTTTGAGTTTGTTATACCCGTAGTTTACTATAACTTTCTAATGAGGAGTAAGACGATCCATGTTGTACTCCTCACCCTTCGCAGTTCTGCTGTAACACAACGATTGATATTCTGCTTAACTTCACAATACTTTCATAGAGATATCAACCACTCTGGTTAGGGTGGATTTTTTGCAACAAAATCCGTCCTTTGAATCAGCTCTTATAAAACAAAAATTGCAGGTGTATTTTGGTTTAAAAATTTACAACTTTTAAACAAGACATTAAAATAACTGAAAGGATTTCGGTTATGAAGAATGTATGTATTGAGCAGGTGCTTGTAACAAGACCTCAGTTGCTGTGTTTACATGCCACAGCTTGGCTTGATGACTCTGGAACTGGTTGGGATATCTGCTGTAGTAAGATGGATTGTATGTAGATAAATCCACACATCTAACTAGCTGATCTACCCACATGTTCAGATCCATTATCAGAAGCAGATGTATATTTGGTTAAAGTCAATGGTCACTAATAACATAACCTTTTCCCTCCGTACTAAAGGGCCGGTAATTTATTACAGCGGGGTGGGAGGGTCAGAGCTTTTGATGTACAGATATTAATGACCCTCCCCTAATGCTTGGATATTTTTGGATGAACCTCCCCTTGGCGTTGTACATTTTTTTTCATGACCCTCCCTGAAAAGACGTTTATATTTTAATATAAAAAGTCCACCTTTTCATGACCCGCCCCAGATATGTGTATTATTTTTCATGACCCTCCCCAAATAATGTATATATATTTTTTTATGACCCTCCACTAGAAATTGTCAAAAGGTTTTGTTGACCCTCCCCTCTCTATAATAAATGACTGGTCCCCAAGCAACTGAAAAATTGTTTTGTTGGATATGAAACTGACCCAGTAACTGACCAAATTTATGTGTTATTTGCATTGTTTTAGTCATGATTCCAGTGTGTAACAAGTTTCATCTAAGGAAGGCTATGTATATGTTACAATATTGGACTGTGCACGTGGGAGTGTTCCTTTGTCCCGTACCTGAACATATTCAGTATGTGAACATCTCTGGTACCAGTTCAACAAAGTGATCTTAGTACAAGAACTGCCACCCAGTGTTAACGTCATGTTATGACAGTTATAGCACTAAAACCGCTTTTAGGAATGTACCCCAGGTGATGAGGGGCCCCAGAGAAATGTCCAGTCCTAGAACTTATTCAGTTATGATGATGCATACAAGGAAATCTATTGATACCATGAGGACAGACTTTTTTAAGCATGGGTTTCTACAAATAATAGAAATGTGAAAAAAATAAAATGAAATATACCATTGAGCATGTTGGTTTCTGACATGAATAGTGCTAGTTTCTGAGGCTAAATTCTGTATATAATAATTTCTCTGTGATATATACATATTCCTCTGTTTAGCCGATATAGAAGTGTACATAACCCATCTGCCAGTACCACTCAGTGCAAAGACTGTAGTGAATATGGTACCTCATTAGTAGTAACAGATATTCAAGTAGGACTAGGAGTACTTTTGTGCCAGACACAAGGTCTTTTGAAAAATGTTTCTGAAAGTGAAGAAAATGGTTTATATATAAATATTGTATATAGTTTTTGATAGATGTGTTAAAGAAGTATACCACTCAATGTTTGATAGGGACATTATATGTCATTCTATTTATATATACACTTGACATATGAAAATCCTTTTTGTGTATCATGGCAAGGAAATAATTTTCCTATCAAAAGTGGTGTCGTATATATATGAAGATAACCTGTAATAAGTTGTGAGATAATAAGTTGTTTATTGATTGTTTCTCTTTTCTTGACAACCATATATGCGATATATATATATATATGACAGGAATAAAATGTCCGTTTTATGAAATAAGTTGTGAACTTCGGTCACAAAGACAAAAATGGGAATCCGAATGCCTTGAATAGTAACGTTACTGATAATAACGTGTATCCCGCTCCAATAATAGCATGTATCTCCACACTGACTATACAGTCCTACTCACAGGACTGGAATCTACTTAATGTGACGAACAGAGAGAATTCAAGTCACATCAGTTTTAGAATTTATTTTCATTTCCACAAATGTGCCGTGATATTCATTATTTTGTTTGATAGATGTGTCTGAAACTATCTCAGAGGTGAATCAGTGGTCTCTCAAACATAGAAATGCATTCCATTTATTGAGCAGTTACATAAATTGTTCATCACGTCAGATGTTTCAAAATCATTCTTTAATATAAGAACATAATGGTTGGCAATTTAAATTTACGTGAAAAATATGTTTAAAAACACATGGGTGTTGCGTTACCCATACCAGTGCATGTGGTGTGGGCAGTGCTCATGCAGAAGACGTGTACATACCTGTCCCCAGCATCGGGTATGTATTGTGTACATAGTAAAGCAGTTCATCAGCTGACCACATGGATGGGGAGCCGCTAGGGTTTGGGCAGTGTCTTTTTGTGTAATGTTTCTGTCTCTTCTCAAGCTCCTGCTTTGACAATGAATGTAAATTTATGAACTTATTTTGATCAGTGGTTATAATAAGGGGATGTTTGATCATTGTTTGAGAAAATGAATCTTGGAGTCTGTATGTGAAAGGCCCACCCACTTTGTAATGTTGACAACCAGGAACTGTTGCCATACATGCTGATACATTTCAAAAATAAAATCACCAGAGAAGCAACTAGTGCTGTCCTTTTTCCTCACAATCAATTCTTCTCTTCTGGTGAATTATTAACTTCACCAGTGTTCATTCTAAGGCTGCATAAAAACATGTTTCTGGAGCACATTTTTCTCCCAAGTGAGGCGGCAGTCATGATGGAGGAACATTTTGTCTGCTACTTTTCCCACCACGATTACCAACAAACAGAACTGGGGATACATTGAACTGAGCTCTGTTATACAGTGTCAGTTGCCATGTGTGGATGACAGAGTCTGATTGATTACGCTTGGAATTTGAAAATTATTTTTCATTGTGAATGAAACTGACACGTTGGGTGTAGAGTGATGTAATGAAGCCTGAGAAACATTACTTTTTTAAGCATGAGATACTACAATTTGCTGTGCGAAGCCGCCGGGATGGTCAGCCTCGCTGACTTGGTTGATGCATGTCATTGTATCTCAATTGCGTGGATCAATGCTCATGATGTCAATCACTGGATTGTTAAGTCCAGGCTTGATTGTTTACAGACTGCCGTCATATTGTTGGAATATTGCAGAGTGCGGCGTTAAACAGCAAAAAACAAACAGAACAAAACGGTACCTGATGAAGAGTGGGGGAACAATAAGGAGATAAATATTTCGTTTTGTAAGATTTGCGTGATGTTATGCTGAATGGATGAACGGAAATTTTTCATTTGAACACGACGCCGTAAGGCAATCACGCAAATCTTACAAAACGAAATATTTATCTCCTTAGTAACATGAACGTTAATTAATTACAATGACGCTGTAATGCTCCTCCAGCTGGCCACAAGGACTGGGTCATATCATATGATGCGAAAAAGCAGTGGAAGGAAATTAAAAGGGAGTCAAATAACTAATAAATAATGGCATGGGATTGTTACACGATATTGTTTATCGACAACATATTCGATTTAAATTTCTGTATATATGAGTGTCACATATGTTTCGGAAGTACAGGATAGGATTTTAAAATATTGCTATTTTACATGGAAATTACACTTGGACATGGAGATGCTTAATTATTTCTAAGGTGTTTTTAACTGACTGGCTCTCGCTTCGACTCTTTTCTTTTGGGTGCCGAAATCCTATGAGCGTGGGTAGAAATTACAGATTTGTCCTCATGATCATTCTGGGTTTGCCAGCACACTGCCCGTGCTCGTGTGTTTCATCCAAATGGTAAACGGATAAACACTGCATCACTTTAGGCTTCTCTCCCCTATTACGCTATCACGCCGTGATATTTACTGAAATCCTGAATTAAAGCCGACTCACTCACTCTACCTCTGAACTCCTGAATTACCTCCCTTAGACCAGGCTCCGAACAGATCAGCCCAGTGTCATCACCCCTCTCCAACAGCAGTCATATTTTCCAATATGAGGTATTTTCAAAAGTGTCGTTCTGGTTAACTGTATATGGTAGTACAAACAGAGTTATTTATATTATCTTTAGTATATAAATTATGCATACACGACCTGAGGTACAGAGCATACACAGATTCGCTCGCTCTACCGATGAA